TCACTTCCGGCCCTCACTGGCCTCCCCCTTCCTGTTCCCTGCCCAGCTCTCAACTGGTCTCTCACTTCTAACTGCACCCAGCCTTGCCCCCTTGTCCCCTCCCCCTGCCCAGGCCTCACCTGGCCCCTCAGCTCCGGCCTGCACCCTGCAGCTTCTGGTCCAGCTGGCAGAGCTGGTGAAGGAAGCCTCGGTTCGGGAAGACCCATCGGTGCTGCCGCACGGTGATCACTGCCTGGCGCAGGGACATCTGCTGGCGCAGCATGAGGTAGGCCAGGACCAGAGTGGCCGAGCGGCTCACGCCTACCACACAGTGCACCAGGACCTTGGCTGAGGGAGACATCCTGGTGAAAGAAGACCCTTTCCCACCAGCAGGCCCACCCAGGGGCTGGGGTGGGGGCCCAAGATCCTCTCCCCGCCCTGCCTTGGGTGTACTCTGTGACAAGCCCCGGCCAAGTCATTCAACATTTAGGGACCTCAGTGTCTTGATCTGACAGATGCGTAGACCAGCCCTCATGGAACTTGTCATTATGTTTGATGGGATGACGGTCAAAGTGGACCCCTTGGGCTGGGGCCCAAAGTCTTATAAGTCGTGGCTCATAAGACCCTCCATGAACTGGCCCCCCTGATCCTGCAGCCTCATCTCAGGCTGTCCCGCCCCAACCTTCAGCTCTAGCCGTGCCGCGTAACTTCCAGCTCCTTGAAACTGTCATGGTCTCTGGCCTCCAGCCTTAGCACATGCTTTTCCAGCTCCTTGTAACCCTTTCCCCCTGCTCTCGGCCTGACTAACATCCTCTACTCATCTGTCAGGGTTCAGATTCTTTGCATAGGCGTTCCTGACCACTCATGGGGTCGCCTGAATCATGGAGCAGCTCATCCTTTTCGCACGTGGCCCAGTGACGACTGCTGCAGGGGGGAGTCACCCTGCCTCCCTGCTCCTCTGCGCTGAGCACCCCTGCCCTGCGCTCCCTCAGCTCTTCACATTTCCCCACTCCATGCGTAGCACTCGTACCACTTTACACTGTGACTGCCTTCCCTCCAAACATAAGGACAAGGTCCATGAGGGCGGGCACCCTGCCTTGTCTATGTGTGAATTCCCAGCATCTAGCTCAGTGCCTGGCACAGAGAAGATAGTAAATAGCTGGCAAGTGGATGGATGAAGAACAAATGAATGTCAAAGTGTTTTGAATATTAAGAAGTGCTGTGAGGCAGTGTCTTGTCTCTCCCGTCGCGCAGTTGAGAAACTGAAGTCCAGAGAGGGATGCTGGCTCGCCCAGGTTCCAGTGGCAAAGGCCAGAGCGCTCACCCAGGATAAACACAGGATAGGGGTCCAGCTTTCCCCGGGGCCCTTGTAGTCCCCTGGGTGCTAGAAGTTTTGTTTTTGTTTTTGTTTTTCCCATTTGAAAGTACTTTGTGGCATAAACCAGACAGCTAGGTACCGAACGGCGATTTCTGAAGGCTGCATGCTACAGAGAAGGAATTGCTTTTGCTGTTCCGGAGGCCTGGCTTGAGGGCTGCTCCTAACCGTGGCATGGTCTTGTATTCTAGGCCTCAGTTTCTCCATGTGACAAGCTACGCAGTTGGATAAATCACTGGAGCACTGAGCAGACATTTTTTTTTAAAAAAAAGCTGATGGCTTTTTAAAAACTAGGGGTGGTTGGGGTGCTCCCCTGAGGCCTCCGGAGGACACAGTGCGGCTCTCTCTGTGGCGAGCGCAGTGCCTCCTCCTCCCTTTCCTCTGGGTGCCGTTTCCTTGCTCCCTCCTTTTCCTGGGCTCCCAGGGCCCTTCTCTGGCCTCTGTGGCTTGTTTCCTGAGCCCATTTCTTCCATGGCTCATTTCTACCTCTGTGACTTTCTAGATAAACCTTCTCTTACAGTTTAGGAAAAAAATTGTTTTAAATAAAAACGAGGGATGGGAGGGCACTGATGTTTGAAGGGAAACTGGACACCCCCTCAGGACTGGACAGGACGGATCTGAGATCAGACCCCAAGTCCTACCCCCAGGTGTGCTGAGGCCGCGGTGAATGAAGTCAGCTGCAGAGGAGAAGTAGGCACTGATGTCGAAATCGGGGAGGTCGTGGGCTGGCACCCCCAGATAGCTCACGCTGCTGCCGTAGAAGTCAGGGCCGCCCTGACAGTAGAGGCCTCCATGGGCGGCGTTCAGCACGTGGGTGATGCCCAGCTTCCAGAGCTCGAAGCGGTTATTGGCTGTGGCCCTGCGGAGCGGAGGAAGGGGGCTGGAGGTTGGCTGAGCCATGGGGTCCAGGAGGGAGCCCCCTACGTCAGGCCCCCTACTTCAGAGGGATGGAGCCATTAGGGTCCAAAGGAAGGTGGAAGGAACCCAGCAAGCTAGAGCTGGATCCACAGCTCCCAGGACACCCTCAGAGCTTTTGGTGGGAGAGCTGGTGGGAGAGGAAGTTATCTGTAGCCCAGCTTTGCTTCCTGAGGCCATGCGCCCCTGCTGGCTGGGACAGAAAGGAGAGGATTGCCTCACCCCTGGGACCTAGCTGCCCCGCCCTTCCTTCCTGCCTCATGCCTTCCCACGTGCTTCAGGCCTCTGCTGGCCACTACCTCATACCTGCTTCTACTCTGCAAATGTTTAGAGGTGACAACTTTCCTGATTCACCATTAGTCAGGCTTCCTCGCCCACTGTGACCCAGGAGAGAGGCTGGGACCAGGAAGGGAAGCTCTCTGTCCAATCCATTTCATACCCCACATCACCATTCCCCAGGCCTCTGCCACTGAAACTCCCCCATTTTCCTGGATATGTCAGCAGACTCCAGGAATTTCTGGGAGCTCCCCTCTTTCCGGCAGGCAAAGTCCCCACTCCCCCTGGTGGCCGCATCTGATCACTGCACCGTCCCCAGCACACGGGACTTCTGGAGAAAGTCCCCGGGCCTAGAATGCTCGGTGCAGAACTAAGTCTCCGTGTTCCCACCCCGCTCCTATCTCTGGTAAAGAGCCCAGGAACTGTCTGTTCTTGTTCCCACCCCTACACCCCTCAGGCCAGCTACTACTCACGCATCTCCTATGTACAGGTTGGGCCAAACTTCATCCGCCCGGTTGCAAGAAGAAATTTTCCCCGCCCGCAGGAGCTCTTCCAGTTCCACAACGCTGGGGCTAGGTGTGGCTCCCGGATCTCCCCACAGCTCTGGGAGCGGGGCCTCAGCCATAGGCCAGCCCACCCACTCCCCTGTCTCTGCAGTCACTCTTCTCTGCCTCTCCAGGGTCATTTCTCCGGCCTGAGACTGGCAGGGACAGGTGGGACAGAAAGAAGTGACTCAGCAAGTCACCGGGGCCTCCAGAGGGAACAGGACATTTTCTTCCCCAAGTCACCCCCGCCAACCCCCAACTCCATTGACCACATGGAATCAGACATACTTCTGCAAACACTTTCTCTCTGCACCTCCGTTTCTTCATCCGCAAAGTAAGGATAATTGCATCTACCTCAAAGAATTGTGAAGATTTGCCCTAGCTGGTTTGGCTCAGAGGATAGAGTGTTGGCCTGTGAACTGAAGGGTCCCGGGTTCAATTCTGGTCAAGGGCACAAGGGCATGTACCTTGGTTGCAGGCTCCTCCCCAGACTGGGCCCTGGTCAAGGCTCCTGCAGGAGGCAACCAATCGATCTGTTTCTCTCACATCGATGTTTCTCTCTGTCTTTCCTTCTCTCTTCCATTCTCTCTCTCAAGATCAATAAAAAAAATCCTCAGATAAGGATTAAAAAAAAAAAAAGAGCCCTAACTGGTATGGCTCAGTGGATAGAGCGTCAGCCTGCAGACTGAAGGGTCCCAGATTCGATTCTGGTCAAGGGCATATACCTTGGTTGCAGGCACATCCCCAGTAGGGAGTGTGCAGGAGGCAGCTGAATTGATGCTTCTCTCTCATCAAGGTTCTAACTCTCTATCCCTCTCCCTTCCTCTCTGTAAAAAATCAATAAAATATATTTTTTTAAAAGAATTGTGAAGATTTAATGAAACAAAGGATCTTCTGTTTCTAACACATAACAGATGCTTAAGAAACATCTTTGGACAGGTTAAGAAGCCGGAAAAGGCTACTCCATCCTGAGGACTGAGTTAAAGTAGAGACTCAGGGTGGAGAGGAGATGGTTGACTGTAAGGATCAATGAGAGAAAAAGCTCTGCAGTCTGGGTCAGAACCGTATGGCTGTTGGATGAGGCTCCAGAGTCTAGGACTCAGAAGACGTTTCCTGAGTTGCTGAGTCAGAGAACGATGGAGAGTCGGCATGGAAGACCTCGTCTGGAGGGTACCCACAGGGTTCACCAGTGAAGGTTTGAACAGTGGCTTTGTCATGCAGATGGCTGATTTATCAAAAGAGAAGGCTGAAACGGCCATGTATGTCAAAGGGGAAGAAAGAAGGGACTTGAATGTTGCCCTAGAGCAGTGATGGCGAACCTTTTGAGCTCGGCATGTCAGCATTTTGAAAAACCCTAACTTAACTCTGGTGCCGTGTCACATATAGAAATTTTTTGATATTTGCAACCATAGTAAAACAAAGACTTATATTTTTGGTATTTATTTTATATATTGAAATGCCATTTAACAAAGAAAAATCAACCAAAAAATGAGTTTGGGTGTCACCTCTGACACGCGTGTCATAGGTTCGCCATCACTGCCCTAGAGCCTAAGGGCCTGTCATCAGAAATGTTTTTTGAGTTGGGAGGGAGAGTCCTCTAATTATAAGGGTTTTTGTCTCCACCACAGAAACTGAGAAAGGTCTGTATCTGTCCTTCTGCCAGAGCTAGTTATTGGCAAAAGAGACGAGATGTCTTACTGGTTCTTAGATGACTTCATGAAGGTCCTGACGGGGCGGGGGAAGCACCAGCTGCAGTAGGAAGCCTCTCTGCTGTCCTGGCCTTGAGGCCAGCTTGAGGGTAACGTCCACACCAGGACATCCCACATAAGCATGTCCACCCCAGAATCTGTCCCCACCCCCATCAGAGCCACTGAAGTCTGTCTTGCACTGGTTGGGAAAGTAAGGCCAAGGAGGGGCTGAAGCCCAGGTCACAGATGGTTTTGGATTTGGTTGATGCCAGTGCTAAGCAGGGCTGAAGCCAGGGGCTGCTGAGGACAGGGATCTGAAGGGGCCCTGGGAGACGGTTGAGGAGCCCAGAGAGTTCCCATGGGGCAGGGTAGTATAGTGGAGAAGAGCATGGGGTCTAAAGTTAGACAGATTTGAATAGGAATACTGGCTTTGGCACATATTATCTGCAATGATTCAGACAAGTTTCTTGGCCGTGTAGAATTGGCACAAGGATTAAGTGAGATATTTATAT